AGATAAATAAATTATGTCTATGTTATACAACTTATTGTTGAACGGACCTGTTGTGTCGTAATTTTCCTATCTTTAGAAAAATCACATTTTTGAAATGTTCTAAGTATAAAACAATTTGAGAAATACTTAGAAAGAGTCGCCACTTAATTTTTTAAAGAAATTAAGAAAACTTAAAATTTTCGAAGATTTAAACAGAAAAAAAATCATTTGAAAATACCAAGGAGGGTTCGGGGTTCAATTTACACTTCGAGAAGGGTTTAAGCATTCGAAGTGCCCGCTAACATGCGGTTGACCTGCGACTTGACTAAAATATATTTGACTATTTATTTTTTTAGAAAAAATAATGATTTAACATAAAAATAAAATAAAATAATAGCTTACAATATATTCGATTAACTTTGAGAAAATAATTAAATAAATGACTCATTTTATTTTATTTTTCATTTTTTAGAGAAGGGGGTCCAAAATGATACATTCGACTCGAAATATAAGTGATTAGAATATTAATATAAAACTAGATTAATTAGAATTTATTTGATTCATTTTAGACCAATTTAATAAATTAAAACATTAAAATCATTTCTTATTAATTGACTAAACCTTTTTGAGAAAAGACTAAGTAAGTATATATATATATATATATATATATATATATATATATATATATATATATATTCAATTAATTGAAAAGAGTTGATTACATTTTTTAAAGTTTATTTGAGAAAAATACTTTAACTTACATCAATTTTAAAATGAATGAAAATGTGATTAAATGAAAAGCATTAAAGAACATCTCTTTTTAAGAACCAAAGTTTAACTTTAATTGAGGATATAAAATTTTGACCAATATACTTAACTACTAAAATAAATGAACACAAAACATGAAATGTATTAAAAATTAAACCAACACAAAGAATATAACTCATCTTTTGGGGAATTTAATTAAGTTAATTAACAATTCTAAAGTTAGAGTTAATGATAAAAAAAACAATAATTAAAATCAATTAAATAAATTAAAGGTAAAGGAGAAATGAATTTGGGCCTCCTGGGCCTGTTGCTGCCTCCTTTTCCACACTTAAATCTGTGTATACATCAAACGTATACGGCTGTATACGGCATGTATTTCGACCCGTTTTTGTGTATATTGGGCTGTATACTGAATGTATGCAGCCTAATTCAGCTCTTCGATCACCTGTACTAATTTTGGACCTGTATATTAAAATTCTTCATGTATACTAGTGTATACCACTGTATACAGCAAGTATACAACCCTTTCCTTGGGCCTTTCCGAAATCTGAAAGCTTGATTTTCTGCCCTGTACTGCCTGTGACTTGTTCGTCGTCTATTTTTGGACTCGATAAAGGGGAATATTGGGCCTGTAAGGCCCAATCCATGAAATGCACAAGGAGGAGCCTTTGAAGGCTCGAAGATAGGCGATTCACATTTAAAAAAAAAAAAAAAAAAAACAAAGATGGAAATTAGTGCCAAACTATATCTACATTTATATGATAAGAAGAAGAAAAAAGAGTACAGAAAGGAAAAATAGAGCAAAAATATAGGTGAATAGTTCATTACATGTATTACCAAAGACAAACAAAAAATGCATATGACCTTTAAGAAAAATCCGTTTTTTTTTTTTTTTAAATTGAACTAACCTCACACGATGAGGCAAAATGCCGGACGATGATTATAACTAAGCTATTAAACTAGCAATAGCCATAAAGAAACAACTATCGATCAAGGAAGGAATAATCTATCGGAGTTGGTGTCCTTAAGACTTTTTAAATATAATATGAAACTAAGCAAAGGAAAAACAAACCCATATATTAACAAAATGAACTTAAGCCCTTGGATATGAACCAATCAATAACCCAAATTAACAAAAATACTACTGTTGTGCAGACCTTCAGATATGAATAAAAAGAGATCTTTATCATTTTTTAGAACTTTCAAATAAAGGAAGAGAGCAGGCATGTGTATACAAGCAACTATAGTAAACTTCCGCATAGTTTTCACGGTACCGAGTCATACATTTAAAGGCAAACAAGAATGAATTAGAACTCAACCTTTAAAGCTATAAACTTTCCGAAATAAGACTCAACCAAATATGAATCTTGACAAAAGCAACATTCCAAATCAAAGTGTTAAGACAATCAACCAAAGCATCCAAAATGGCAAATGTAAAGACGTCCAACGAACTAGAAATATTGACGTCTTGATTCATTCAATCAACTTGTGGTGAAAGAAAGAAGGGCAAGACGTCGAGGATTAAACCAAAGTTACAGATTTACGGTGGTTAGAAAATGAAACAAGACGAGTAGAGCGGCTTGACGACTAAACTAAAGGACCAGCTAGGAGTGCAGGGGAATAGTAGAGGGGACAAAACAACATAGCCAACATATTCAGAGTGTATAGATGTAGACAACATAGCCGACATGAGTCACAAGCAAAGCTTATTAATTCTGAATTCGAGCTTGTTGTCCAAAGACACACAAGAAAAACAGGTACCGAATACACATAAGACACTACATTGAAAACGAAATACAGAAGGAAGCGATGATACCTTTCTCAGGGCAGCGGACTGAGACCAATACGAGCCAAAGAACAACCTCAACACCGACTTCAAACCTCGAGCGATAAAATCAAAATATCAAACCAATTTTAGCCGAAGACCCTTTTAGAACCTAGAATTAAAAATGCATTCAAAATTTCTCAAGCGTAAAGTCAATTTGTTCCAGAAAAATTTTTCTCCCCCCCTTTAATCAAGAACAAGAAGATAGTATTTATAGAAAGGGGATAGGGGTTCAGACTTTTTTTTGGGGGAAAAGGGTAAAATTGGAATTCGAGTTCGATCCCAATTTCAAATTTTTTCCTCCAAGGAATGGGAAAGCTCTTCGTTTGTGTGAGATTTCTCCCAAAATCCCAAGATATCCGGATGAAGATGTCAAAGTGGGTGGTTGTTGCAGAGAAAGCTGTGGGAGCTGCTGTTTGTTGACGTTTCGGACTGTTATTGCTTTGACGTTTTTGGGTTTGCGTCTAGGGAAGAGGAAGACGCTGGCAGGGGGCTGTTTTGGTACTGTATGGCTGTATTGTATGTGTATTGGGTTAGTGGTGTTGGGTCGGGGCTGCTGCTCCTGGGTTTCTGCTTGCAAGGAAGAAGAAGAATGAGCATACTGTTTGCTAATGTTGTTGGCTGTGTATTGTATGTTTGGATTGTTAAAAAATAAAGTGGGCTGGATATTGGGTTATGAGAAAATGGGTTGTTGGGTTGGAAATTGGGTAAAACAAGATGACTAAATAAATTACAATTATGGTCATATGAAATTTAAAACATAACCGAATTGAGTTGATTTAGTGAATCCGGCTAGAATTTAAATAAAATATATTAACGTTAATTAATTAACGAGTTTCTTGATCTTAACGAAATAAAATAATTAACTTAATTGTAAATTAATGATTCAAAATTATAACCATAATTTAAACTAAACTAATTTAACAAAATACTTACTAAAATTTAAAATCACTTTGAGACGATTTTCAAATATTTAAGAAACACTAATTATACACATAATTACGTAAAACAAATATACTATCTAAAAATTATAAAAGTGACAAAACTAGTTAAAATAACTTGCAAACTATATTATTATTATTACTTTTATAAAACTAATTATTTTAAATCGTTTGAAATTGAAGAAGCTCGATAATTAATATATATTGTGGAGGTCCAAAATTGGGTGTCAACAGGACCTCCTTTATAATAGTAGAACTTTTAACAAATCCCTTTGTTTGAATTTTTAAGTCCATCACTGCTTTATCAACAAGCTAGACAAATAAAACTCTACACACAAGGGCGCAGAGTTAAAGTAGGGGTTTTGATGAATTCAATAGCTTTTTCGTAGATTATGTATTTATATTAGAAAATTAAATAAATATTTATATGTAAATTAACTTGTGAACCTCTTAACAAAATTGATGATGACTTAGTGGTAAGGGATAAATATTTATCGATGTGCACACATGGCACAAGTTGTTGTGTAGTGGGGAGTATTTTACATGTTACACTTTTATAAAAAAAATTGTCTTAAAATAGTTTCTTAATTCTATCCATTTTAGTTGTAGTGATTAGTAAAATAATTTGGTCAAAAATAGTTGTTATTTTAATAATTTAAGATATAATTTATTGTTAGTTTTCACTTTAACCCTTACTTAATAAATATGGTGAGAGATTAATATGGTAAAAAAAGTGTGGTATCAAATTGATCGGATCAAGAAATAAATAAGGTTAATGTATATAATCAATTTAATTAGCTTTTTAGTTAATGTTTCTAAAGAGCGTGCAAAAGATACACATAACAAATAAAATGGAGTACTTGTCATTTTATAAAATTAAGATGAAATTACTTAATTTTATCCCATTTTACCTCTTATAGTACGTGTTCTTGAAAGTAACCAATACTGATACATATTGATATATAGAAATTATAAATTTGAAGATGTATCAAACAAGTGAATATTGTTCAATATCAATAAAATTAGCTCATTTAAAAAAAATTAAAATAGGGTGTATACTCACTGAAGAGAGATAGAGGTAATTAATTAGTAAAAAAATAAAGATTAAAAAAACTTGATTTTCTTGAGAAACGTTCAAAAGGGGATTATGTGGCAATTAATTATGTCTCTATAAGTATGGTTTATAACACAGTTTACTCATCAACTATACACATTTTATTTATTCAATCAAACAAACGTACACGTACACGTACACGGTGCACTCAATATAACAACATTCTGTAAAAAAGATTAACAATAAAATTAATTAAAGTAAGAAGCAAATATTTAAACGATCCATATGGATATCAATTTAGATCCATATTTTCATTTATAAACTCCAGTTAATGCATGCATAGCATAGTGCTACTGGATTTATTTTCCTTAATTAATACATGAAGCTTAATTTATTCAGTTGGAAGTTCCAATTTGGAATCAAAGTCTGGTTGTTATTCATGATCACCGTAAGGACGTTGACCATTCCAATTACCTGGTGGATCATAATTGCAAGTTATAAAATACCATCCATTGTTGCATCTAACCCTTGCACAACCAAGACGTACTGAATTACGCCATACTACTTGAGTATAGTGTCCACATACTTTACCAGGTTGACAAGTATTTGAATTATAATGGTACCATTGCTTCTCATCGACCCACATCTTCACGGCACCACCCGCGTTGAGTGCGGGGAAAGCCGCGGCTAGGTTTTCGCCATAGGGCCCACTTGAATGTTGCATCCTGCAGTCCCCCATTCTTTGATTAGCATAATTTTGGGCATAGGCAGCTAGCCTGTTGTCCCATGTCATAGGGCCGACACCAACTTGTCTACGAGCTGCATTATGAGCGTTAAGATAATCTTGGGGAGAATTTTGAGCTTGGGATATAGAGGGAAATATAGCAAAGGTAATGCAACAAACAATTAATAAGGTCATATTGGAGTATCCCATTTTTGTGTTTTGGTGAGAATTAAGGAATAGTTTGGGTTGGTTTAAATAGGGAACAAGAGTTGAATAGTCTGCAATTTATGGTAGAAAATTTAAATAAAGAATTGAAAAGTTACTTGTTAGTAGACTCTATTGGGTTATTTGAAAATCATATGAGATTAATTATTCGGTAAAGCGATAAGAGTCATAGTAAGTAATTCTTCATCTTCAACTAGAGTCTTGAGTTAGAATTTTATCGGGTTCAAAGTCAAAATTTACTAGGAAGCTAGTACTATAAATCCTTAAATAAAATTTTTAATTCGTATTTAATCAAACATCAATACAAATATCAAAAACTAAAATATGGGGAAATATAAGATTTAGGTTGTGAAAGTAAAAGAATGGCATGCCACATCATGCAACTACTTGTTTTTAAGTGATGAGAGGTACCACTGGTCATTTGGTTAATTCCTTCAACAACAGTACGTATTAAATTAGTACACTTTTCTGTTTTATTAGTAAAAAAATAATTTTCACAAAAGTCATACACGTTAGCTATTTTCTTATTTTAATTTATTTATCTGATTTTAATTTGATCCAATGTTTAAAAAGTAAAAAAGATTAATTTTGAATTTTGTAGTCTTAAGTTAAAGATACGTAAAATGTATCAAACTGTCATAATTTAATCTTCTGATCTTAGAACCTGTTTGACATTGTGCTAAAAATTGCTTATTTTTAGAAGTACCTTTTTTAAATAACTTTTCAGAAAAGTAGTTTTGAAAAATAATAATTTGTGTTTGGCTAATTCATTTGAAAAATGCTTTTGATAAATAGATTGTGTTTGAATTGTCATTTTTTAAAAGTACTTTTGAAAATCAAATTATAAAAAAAATGAAAAATATAATATATTTTAAAACAAATTAAAAAAAAAAAGTAAAACAAATAAATTGAAGGGGACTGATATCCAGGGAGAAGATGTATGTTATAGTTAAAACATGAAAACAGAAAAAACGACAGCGAACCAACAAGGAGTTATTTTAATTTCTATATATGAACTTGACTTTAATTTTGTGGCCCTTTCTCTGGATTATGCTAACCTGAGATGCTATATTGAGGTGCCTTTTAAATTAAGGATTAAAAGTATTTCTAGAAATAACTGTTTAATCTTTTAAATTAAATATATTATGATTATGAGAAAATTATGTTGGGAGTTCCACCCTCGAATGAGCCCTGCAGAGCGCGATTCGAATTCAGTCGGAGCTTCAATGTAGACTCCAGACACCGAATGGAAATAAAAAAAAATTAATACCACTATTTTTGACCATGAATACTACCACTAGCCATTTTGTTTAAACACTAATCTAAAGTTAAGCCTCATAAAGTGATGTTGCAACTACTTTTTTTTTTTCTCTTCAGAAATGTAAAAGCCGCCCTAAAGTTATGGGAAACTTATGCAGATGTATTATATATCCAACTTAACAGTTTAATCCTTTTTTTTTTTTTATTTTGTACAATAATTTGTTCAACAAATTATTAATAAACACATGGTCAGAAGCACGATAATATAAATACCTAAATTAAGAACATAAATATTATATACAATATAAAAAGATACTAGATTAATTGTTGAAAATGGCAAGTGTAAAATAGATATTGCATAGGATAAAGGGTTTGTAGGGGGGAGGGGGGGTGATTTTAGGATAAAGGGTTTTGGGCGGGGAGGGGGAGGGTTGATTTTTTTAAAACAAAATTGGAGTGTGAAAATGATTTTCCATTTTTTTAAAATCGGCTTTACGTCATACATTAAAGTAGAGTATAAAGTTAGGGTATCAGATCTGTCAGAAAATAGTCACCTAGAAGTTTTTTTAAAAAAATATGAGATTTATAATTGCAAAAATTATATTTCATTATAAAATTTAAAATAACATAATGATGGTAAAGATTTCTTACATTGTACAATATATATAATCTAAACTGAAAATTATTTTTTGATTCAACTGGTCATCCTTTAACGGAATGACCAAATATGTCATACATAAAACAATGAACTCAAACAACATGTACAAGAAAATAATTCTTGTAATTTATTGGTACAAAACGAAGCTAAAATGCAACACACGTATATATAGAGATCATAAAAACCTCTATAAAGTAGGTAGCTTATTGTTCATATACTAATTTTCTTATTTGATTATAAAACTTGATATTAGTCAAAATAATTAGTATGGGCGTTGACCAATGTAATTGCCTGGAGGATTATAGTTGCATATAACAAACCACCAGTTATTATTGGTACACTGAACTCGAGCACAACCAAGTTGAATCGAGTTTTTCCAGATAACTTGAGTATAATGTCGACATTCATGTACACCGGTGCAACTATTACTAGTGTAGTCGTAGTACAGTTTCTCAGCCACCCACAAGTCAACAGCAGCAGTGCCGGTGAAAGAACCACTCCCCTTAGCAATATTTTCTCCGTAAGGACCATTGGAGTGGACAAGATTGCAATCATTAATTCTTTGATTCGCATAATTTTGTGCATAAGCTTCAATAGTTGTGTTCCATGTTATTGCACTAACACCAGTTACTTGAGATCGAGCTGAATTATGAGTGTAGAGATAGTCTGTTTGGGAATTTTGGCCATCACAATAAGGTAAAACAAAGGCCAAAATAATGAAACAAATTACAACATTAGAACCTTTGAATAATGCCATTTTTCATTTGAAGAGGTGATGAGAAGGAATTGGATATGTTGGATATTTATAGGTGCAAAATGTGAGTATTTTGCTTCGTGAAATTAGGAATTTTGCATGTGCAAAGTGGAAAGAAGTTGAGCATTTTAAAGCAACTTTTATACATCTCCCTTGTAAATGCATTAACCTTAAGATATTCGTATAGTACTGGTAGATATTTATTTTGTATAATTTACATAAATCTCATAGTGGTAAGAGCTTACTACATTATTTTTCTTTTCTTTTTACAAATTACAAAAATTTCTTAAAATTTATGAATTTCGGATACATCACACGATTTCCGGATACATTAGTAGACTTCCAGATGCATAGGCGAGGGATGTATCTGAGAGGGGAGAGATATATCAGAGAGGGGATAGGACATCCGGATACATAGGGGAGGAATGTATCCTCTCCGAATACATATATAGGAGAGGGATGTATCTGAGAGGGAAGGAATGTATAGAGAGGGGAAGGATGTATCCGAGAGAGATAAGGATGTATTAGCGAGAGGAAATTAGTGATGTATCCGAGAGGGGATTTTTGAATTTTTTTAAATGGTAGAGAATTTTAGAGATTATGATAAAATAACATGTGTATTTGGATCATTTGTCCTTATTTAAATAAGGATTTAAATTATATGTACACATAAATGTAAAAGATTTAAATACTATTCGTATAATTTTACATGTTGTAATAGGTAATATACCATGTTTTGTAGGTTATCGATCAGCTTATACTTTATACTCACTATTAAAAAAATGCTTATTCACTACATCAAAAATGATTTTTAGAGACATTTAATTAACGGTAATAGCTTAAATACTGCTAAACATGTCACTACAAAAAAAACCCAAATTACCAACAGATTTTACTAACAACTTAAGTTAGTTAGTATTTTACTAACAAATTACCAACATATTTCTAACTGAATTATATTTTAAAACTTAACAACGAAATTCTAATAGATTACCAACCAAAATCTTACTAAGTATTTTAGTTGGTAAATACTAGGAGTGTGCATTTGGTTTTTCGATTTGGTTTTACACTATTCAGTTTGGATTTTCGGTTTTTAGTTTTGTAAAAGTGTAACTCAATCCGATCCAAAATAAATTTGGTTTGGTTTGGTTTTCCTCTATTCGGTTCGGCTTTTTTCGGTTTGGTTATTCGGTTATGTCAATAATTAATAACATATATAACCAAAGTAATAATATTTAATCCCTTAAATATACTTTCTAATATAAATCATAAGTAAAACTTAAAATACAATACTTATAAGTATACCTATTATAGATGTAATTCAAACATAAAATATAACCGTAATCATCATGAAAGGCAATAACCAAAAAGGGACAAAAGTGGTTAACTCCAACTTAATTCTAAGCCTAAACATTATATAAATATATATATATGAGAGAGATAAAATTTGGTTTTCGGTTTTTATTTTTTAAAATCCAAAACCAAACCAAAAAACCAAACAAAGTAATTTATTAATCCAAAACCAATCAGAAAAACCAAAAAACCAAAAAAACAATCCAAATAAAATTTGGTTTGATTGGTTTGGTTATTCGGTTTAATCTAAATAGTGCACACCCCTAGTAAATACGGCGGGAAAAAATGGCGCCAAATTTAGCAACATTCTATCAATGAATTACCAACTGAAATATTACTATCGCACACCTTTTGTTGGTAATATTACCAACGAAGTATATATCAATTGGTAAATATGACAAAAAATTGTATATATAATTTATTAACATATTACCAATGAATTACTAACCAAACATTTAGCAACGGCAAGATTGTGTTACTAAATTTACCACCCAAATATAAATGTATTGGTAAATTAGTAACGAAATGTAATTTATTCAGTTGGAAGTTCCAATTTGGAATCAAAGTCTGGTTGTTATTCATGATCACCGTAAGGACGTTGACCCTTCCAATTACCTGGTGGATCATAATTGCAAGTTATAAAATACCACGCATTGTTGCATCTAACCCTAGCACAACCAAGAGGTACTGAATTACGCCATACTACTTGAGTATAGTATCTACATACTTGTCCCGATACACAAATATTCAAAATATAATTGTACCATAGCTTCTCATCGACCCACGTCTTCACTGCACCACCCGCATTGAGCTGGGGAAAGTGGAGGCTAGGTTTTCGCCGTAGGGGCCACCTGACTGCTGCAGCCTGCAGTCCCCAATTCTTTGATTGGCATAATTTTGAGCATAGGCAGCTAGTCTGTTGTCCCATGTCATAGGGCCGACACCAACTTGTTTACAAGCTGCATTGTCAGCGTTAAGATAATTTTGGGGAGAATTTTGAGCTTCGGATATAGAGGGAAATAGGTTTTTAGTAGCAATTAGTATCTTTGTAAGTATCCCTAAAGCCTATAGCGACATTGGATCTAATGATAATGACAATTAACTAATACCGGTAAAAGTTTTAGCTATTAATGTGTATATATTTATTGCCGCTGAAAGTTATTTTATTGTAGTGATCATTGACTAATTTCTAATAACTTGATCGTAATTATTAAGTTGTCATTAATATATACTAGGAAGTTAAACTCATAAATAAGTGGAATATAATGCAACTAGATAATTACTTGGGTTATATATATAACACCTTTACCAAAAGAAGCAATCACGTATTGCTTAAGTTTAGACAAATGAATTTGAATTGGCGTTAATTACTCGATTAACTACAACGTTCGATGTATCATACATCTTGTCTGTTTTTATATATAGTTATACATCAACTGTGTTATATATTATCCACCACTAGCAAATTGATTAATAGTTTTATTTTGTTTCTTTTTTAATACTATCCCATTTTATTTAAAATTTCAAAGATCATTTCAGACGTTAGTTACATTGACAATTTCAATGACTTTAGTACTCAAATTAGGAGGATATGTGGACCCTTTGGCCTTTGCCATAAAATAATTTACTGCATATATAAAACTTGTTGAATTCCCTTTATGAAAAACAATTTTTTTGGCAAACTCCCTTGTTAGAATAACGCTTATAGGGAGGCATATCCAGGATTTCAGAAGGATGGTGCATTATTACAAAAATATGTTTCTAAGATATAAATTTGATTGGTTTGACCTTTACATTCTTAACATTGAACCGTTAAATTTTAAAATTTATAGATTCAACATAAATAATACTAGTAGTTTTAAATTTTAATATACACATTTGATTTAATTATATAAAAATTTGACTGTGGTAATTTTTTTTAGGAATTTTCAATGTTACACAGTTGAAAATTTTGAAAGATTAAATAAAACAAACAAAAGAAAAATTGATTGAAACGCCAAAAGTGTTACCGATAACCACTTGGAGGGGTGTTACTAACAAAAATAAGATAGATATAAGATTTAAATTTCTATCTTTACTTAGAGAGGTGCACCCAATCATCATCATATTATTATATGCTACTTTTAACGTGGGTTCACACCTTTATATTTAAATATTTTTTTAAAAAATATAATACTACTATATATAATCTAGAGAGGAGAGAATGGATTCACGTGAACCCATGAAACCCCCTCTAGCTAGATACGCCTTTGTTATCAACTAGTCGAAATAACACTCTTCGAGGACGTTTGGTATGAATATGAGATAAACAAAATTATCACATGAATGAAGATATAGTTATTCCATCATATTATATGAGATAACTTATTTTATCATTATATCATTACGTTTTATTTTGTACTTATATCCTGCACACAAGTTAAGGTAAGTAAACTTATCCACAAAGTTCAGCTTGTCAAGTTTTAGTTGTATGTTGTAACTTGCCTAAAATGCTAATTAATTTTATAAAATAAAGTAAAAAAATCAGTAAATAATTAAACTTGTGTAAGTATAGACTATAGTAGTAATTATCTTAATTAAGCAAAGTACAATATAACTCTTTGAGTCTAGAATTATAATTTATAGTTACTCATCAACTTTCCAAATTTTATTTATTCAGTTAAACAGGTGCACACGTACACCACACACGTAACACCAAATTGTAAAACAAGAAGAGCAGTAAAAATAAACCAACAAAGCAATTATTCAAACGATCGACCCATATTTTCACCTAAACTCCAGTTAATTAATTTATTCATGATCATCAGTTGGAAGTTCCAATTTGGAATCAAAGTCTGGTTGCTCTTCAAGATCACCGAAAGGACGTTCACCGTTCCAGTTACCTGGTGGATCATAATTGCAAGTTATAAAATCCCACCCGTTATTGCACCGGACCCTAGCACAACCAAGGCGTACTGAGTTACGCCAGACTACTTGAGTATAGTGGCCACATACTTTATCAGGTTGACAAGAATTCGAATTATAATCGTACCATTGCTTCTCGTCCACCCACATCTTCACTGCACCAGCCGCGTTGAGCTGGGGGAAACCGGCAGCTAGGTTTTCACCGTAAGGGCCACCAGAGTGTTGCATCCTACAGTCCCCAATTCTTTGATTGGCATAATTTTGGGCAAAGGCTGCTAGCCTATTGTCCCATGTCATAGGACCGACACCAACTTGTCTTCGAGCTTCATTGTGAGGGTTAAGATAATCCTGGGGAGAGTTTTGAGCTTTTGATGAGTGAAATAATAAAGCAAAGGTAAGGAAACAAATAATTAAGGATTCCATTTTGTGTTTTGGTGAGAATCAAAGAATAGTTGGATGGGTTTAAATAGGGAATAAGAGTTGAATAGTCTGCAATTTTGTGGAAGAAATTAGAGAATTGAAAGATTATATAAAACTTGTTAGCAGACTCTGTCGAATTATTTGAAAAACAAATGAAATTAATTAGAGGTTGTGAAAGTCTAAGAATAGCATGTCACATCATACAACTATCATTTCTAAATGATAAGAGCCGCCTCGAGTCATTACCATAAATTTAACAAAAACAATAAACCTTTTTTTATCACTTACGCGACTATAAATTATTTTATTAAGGATAAAAGAAACTTTTCGAAGATAAGTTATTTCTTATTAAAAAAAAGATGTTATTTTTTTTCAACGGTTTAAAAAGTAAAATACATTGCATTATCATGATAAAAAAAATATACTATTTCTCATTATCTTTGATGGATGTCCTATTTTTTTTAATCGAAAGTAGATGGAACACAATATTATTTCACTTGCACGTCGATATTACTTTTACTCATATACAGGAGTTACTTCATGTATCGCTTAATGTACATAAAATGGATAAAGAATAATGTGCTGGCCAAAATATTTGTACTATATATTAAGGAAAATAAATAATAAAATATTATCAAATGGTATCTCTAATAAAAGGATAATATTATAACTAATAGTTATAATGGCAAGGAGATCTATGAATGGAACATAGATGGTTATATTGATAGATAGATTTATACAAATGTCCATAGAATGTTGATGTACAGTACTATCTGTAAAACTGTTGAATCAACAAATCAAGAAACATCGTCTAAATGAAAGACAACAATTAGGAGAATTTTGCGAACAATTCGCATTTGATATTCCTAAGGAGAAATCAAGAGAATAAAGGATAATATGAAAAAAAGAATAAAAATAATAAATGAGAAAAGAATAAAAAGAATAAAAGAGTAAATAAAAATAATAAATAAGAAAAGAACAAAAGTAATTTATTTTATTTCCTTAAAAAAGGTAAAAATATAGAAAGAAAAAAAAATAAAAAGACGATAAACTAACCCAAAAAAGGGAAGAAAGAAATAAAAAAATATTACCCAAGAGTATCTCTAATAAAGGATAATATGGAAAAAAGAATAAAAAAAATAAATGAGAAAAAAAATAAAAGAGAAAATAAAATAATTAATGAGAAATAACGAAAGTAATTAATGATAAGACAAACAATAAATGAGAAAAAAAATACAAAAATAATTAATAATAAGACAAAAGTTTTGGGTTGGGAAAGATTGGGCCTAAATTTTAAGAGGTTAGGGTAAAATTACGCCTAAATTTAAAGGAAACCGCAGACATTTGGCCTAAACCAAAGAGGGAGTATATTCGGCCTAAACTAAAGTGGCGGTATGGATTGTAATTTATTTCGAGTAAATTTTAGGTTTAACAAACATAAAAAATATATTTGTATGTTATAGTTATAGTTTGTATAATTGCGCTCCATAGCAAACTTTATATTTGTTATTACTATTAATCTGTATATTTCGGTATACATATACATAAAAATTATGTATTTGAGTCTATTTGAATATTTATGTATACAAATGGGTCCTGCATTTGTATATTTTGGTCTATTTGTATATTTCGGTATACAAATAGGTCATGCATTTGTATATTTTGGAATACAAATCTTGCATTTGTATATTTCGGTCTATTTGTATATTTTGGTATACAAATGGGTCATGCATTTGTATATATTTTGGTATACAAATGGGTCCTCTATTTGTATATTTCGGTATACAAATGGAATGACAAAATACACAAAATGTTTGCTACGAATTACAAATAAAAGAAAATATGGCTATAGCATTTAATTTTAATTAATAGTTTGTTATTTCATACAATTTTCCCTTTATTTTTTATTATGGGTATTTGCTGGATTAGTTTGAATTGAACTATGAAGTTGTAATTATTTTGTGGCACATTTATATAGTTTACCCTAATATATATTATCATAAAATTGACTCAAACCCAGAATTTAGAAGAAGGAAAGAAGAAAATGGGCAAAGAGTTAGAGCCTATGTTGGATTGGCTTTAAAAAATAACTTTTAGGTAAAAAATAAAAAGTCAAACTTAAATGACTTTTAAGTCAAAAAAATAAAAAGTAGCCGGAAGCCTACTTTTGGGTCATTTATAACTAAGTTTAAGTTATTTTTAATCTTGTCAAACATTTCCTAACTTATTTTAAGTCATTTTTGACTTGTTTAAGTTATTTTTATATTTGTTAAATACTTCCAAAAGTCAAAAACTGACTTAAAAGTAGATTTCACCAACTTTTAAGTCAATCCAAACACCCATAAAAGTAGGTATTTCACATGTTATACTTTAAAAATATTTGTCTTAAAATCTTTCTTAATTTTAGTTATCGTGATTAGTAAAAATAATTTATCCAAAATAATTGTTATTTTAGAAATTTAAGATATAATTAATTGTTGGTTTTACTTTTACCCTTATCTAATAGTAATAAAGTAGGGAGAAAGATTAATGTGGTAAAAAAGAGAGTGGTATCAACTAAATGATCAAATCTAATTCCCCTCCCTTTCTTGCTCGTCTCTATCCCTATGTATTTGTATTTCAAAGTATATTTGGTATCAAAAATACATATATCTAATTCATGTATTCGACTTGAAATCTAGTATGAAATGATTAATTAATCAAGTAATATGTATTTATTATTTAAAAGAAAAGAGAGAATTAGTAATAACAGAATGTGGGCCGAAACGAATAAGCTACAACATACACACATCCAATAAAGCCCACAAAAAGCTGTAATACAATATACACTGTGATATACCAACAAAAAAGCACGCATATATATAAGTTTAGACTACATTTTTCCCCAGTCACTACATAAGATAACATCACATAAGCATATCCTGGATTTTATTTTCCTTAAAACATTTGATCGTTTTATTCATTCATGTGTTTGATCATGTAAACTTATAATTAGACATCAGTTGGAAGTTCCAACTTGGAATCGAAAGCCGGTTGATTTTCAAGATCACCGTATGGACGTTGTCCTATCCAGTTACCTGGTGGATCATAATTACAAGTTATAAAATACCACCCGTTGTTGCACCTGACCCTAGCACAACCAAGACGTACCGAGTTACGCCACACCACCTGAGTATAGTGTCCACATACTTTACCCGCTTGACAAGTATTTGAATTATAATTGTACCATTGCTTCTCATCGACCCACATCTTCACAGCACCAGCCGCGTTGAGCTGGGGGAAAGCGGCAGCTAGGTTTTCACCGTAAGGGCCACCAGAGTGTTGCATCCTGCAGTCCCCAGCTCTTTGATTGGCGTAATTTTGGGCAAATGCTGCTAGCCTATTGTCCCATGTCATAGGACCGACACCAACTTGTCTACGAGCTGCATTGTGAGGGTTAAGATAATCTTGGGGAGAGTTTTGAGCTTGTGATGAGTGAAATATAGCAAAGATAAGGAAACAAATGATTAAGGCAATATTGGAGTATCCCATTTTGTGTTTTGGTGAGAATTAAGGAATAGTTTGGATTAGTTTAAATAGGGAATAAGAGTTGAATAGTCTACAATTTTGTGGAAGATATTAAAGAATTGAAAGGTGCTAACTTGTCAGCAGACTCTATCGGATTATTTGAAAAACATTACCCGTAAGATTAGGTTGTGAAAGTCAGAGAATGACATGTCACATCATACAACTATTCGCTTATATAAATGATAAGAGCCGCCACTCGTTATTCTCGATGAAAACCATTAGGTTCGTTCGGTAGCTGATTAGAATTGCACCCTAAGTATTAGCTAGCTAGCAATGCAAATGTTAATTATGAGTGAATTTATATATACCTTATTTATATCGGTATAATTAGTTATGCAAAGAAAGAATAACAAAAGTCTCACATTGATAGTTAATGAGATGGATAGACTCCTTATAAGTCTGGGACAATCCTCATCTCTTTGAATGTTTTTAGGGAGTGAGTTAGGTCCAATACCTAACTTCATAATATGTATGAATTGTTTCATCTTCTATCATGCCTAAACTGAATACATATATAGATTCCTTCATAATTTAGAAATATATTAGTTATGCGAATTTAATTTTTAAATTGTCAACCAAACGTTGTATTAATATTGAATAACTTATTTCCTAGCTATCAACCTTATAGATAATTTGTTTCTTATCCCGTTACCAAATGATTATTGTTTGAACGAACATTTTTTTCCGCTCGATTAAATCATTACTATATTTTATTATCTGCTATATATATATATATATATATATATATATATATATATAAATGTATCAATTTCTTCTAGTATTTTTTTTGTTAAAGGTAGATGGAACAGAAGATTTCACCTGCCCATCTTATTTTTACTGTTATATTCGAGAGTTATTCCACTTTCTTTTTTAATCAATATATCAATATAAAAAAATAATAATATATTTTATATTTAATATTAATTTAATTTTAAAATATTTATCTATTTTAAATGAAATAATTTATGATCACACAAATATTTATAATTTATTTTAAACTATAATATCACATAAATTTGGAAAAAGAATATGACCTAAGTCATATTTTATGAAAGATTTTAACCATTTAGCCTTTTTAAGTTTTAATATTGTTAAAACATCAAGCTGTAGTTAAGAGCAGCCTCCATAAAGTGATTTTGCAACTACTTTTATATCAGAAACGTAAAAGCCGCCATTTAATAATAATAAAAAAATAATAATAATAAGAATTATAATAATAAGAATTTTAAAAAAACTTTTGGATGTGACGAGTATAGTACTTTGACCCATTAAAACATTTTTTTATAATAAAGGGATTAATATGGTTTTTTCTTGGTGAGTTTCTCTCCATTCTAAGAGCCTATCCAATATCCATTAAAAAAATTGTCCTTAATTGATCAAACTAGATTAATTTCTAGGAAAAATTGATAGAAATATTGCTCACGGAATAAAATCACCCGGTGGATCATCATAAGGACGTTGTCCAATATAATTACCCGGTGGATCATAGTTGCACGTTATAAAATACCACCCGTTGTTGCACTGAACCTTGGCACAACCAACACGTACCGAATTACGCCAGACAACTTGAGTATAGTGTCCACATACTTCTCCTAGTGCGCACGTATTCAAATTAGAATCATACCATTGCTTCTCATCGACCCACATTTTCACGGCATCAGCCGCATTGAGATCGGGGAAGGCCGCGGCTAGGTTTTCGCCGTAAGGACCCTGAGAGTGGATCATCCCGCAGTCACCAATTCTTTGATTGGCGTAATTTTGGGCATAGTCCGCTAGACTATTATTCCATGTCATAGGACCGACTCCAACTTGTCTACGTGCTTCATTATGAGGGATAAGATAATTTTGGGGACAATTTTGACCTTGTGAAGAATGAAATATAGCAAAGGTAATTAAACAAGCAACCCAAATGGAGTATTTCATTTTTGAGTTTTAATAAGAACTTGCATGGGTTTTAATAGGGAAGAAATAAGAATACTGAGTTTAAAAGTTTGCTAAGTTGTAAAATAATTATTAATTGAACGGTTACTAGCTTTTAATTGGCACAATTTTTTGCCAGTTTTGAAAAGCAAAAAAAACTATAGTAAATAAATCGCTCTTAATTTTGAGGAATATCTATAACGTAACATTTCCTTACTTTGATGTTTCACTATATATATTGAACTCCCTAATTGCCATTACTATTATCCGTTACAAGGAGTACTATATAATTAATGAAAAGAAGATGAAACGTTGGATTTGGTGAGAATATATAATTGATTGGACAATTAAATTTTGTTCTGCCTTCTGAACAAGAAATTTTAACCACAGGATATACTAGTAACAATATTCGAGCAATTTTATTTTATTTTATTTTTAAAAAAGTTTTAATATTGTTTAAATGATCCATCAATGTCTTATGAGTCAAGCCTATCACATAAGGCTTACCTAATGCGGTTTATGTATGTTTTACAGGATATTACACAGTGGAGATTTACCCAGTGTGCACAAAATATTCATCACATAGTGCTTTCCCAAGGGCAGAAGTTGTGGCAAATGTTGTAACGATTGCGGATTATCTTGCAGTTCAAAAAAAAAAATTATATATATACTCGTTTTGTTCACTTTTACTTATTCATTGTTTCAAAAATAGATTTTTACTTTTACTTTTCATTTTTAACATATCAAGAAAAAATAATTATTCTTTTACATGTTTTATCTTAGTATTAATTAGTTGTTCTCTAAATTATTTTTACTTAATATATATAGAAATAATGTGATAAAATAAGTATATCATTATTAATTTTTTTAATTGATGATATCAAATTTAAATATGACAAATAAAAGTTAACGGAGTGTTTCATTAATTAATTTCTACTCAGGACCACCCTGTAATGGGTAAACTTCTACAAAGACGCCGGCCACCATCTCTAATATTCGTATAATAATAATATCGTGAGTTCATTTTTGGCCCCATTTCAAAATCCATCAAATGCTGTCCGGCGGCTAAACTAGCACATTTTAAAATATAAGGTGATTGCGCTTTATTGTTATTTTGTATTCGTATCTAATTTATGCTCTTCATGCTTTTTTTTTGCGAGACATAAAAAGTTATTTGTTTTAATATCATAATATTTCGCTGACATGATCTTAGTTTCTAAAAAACTTATGCCCAGTGACATGAATTCAATTCCTAAAGGGCAAAATCTTAATAAAGATCAGTCCATTTGAAAAAGATACAGTACAATTTCAAGTTTTTGCTTGAATTGCCCCTATTTTGAGGTGATCTTCAACTTCAATCTTGCGTTGTTCTATTTGGAGATTTTTGACCCTATGTCCCCCGGACTAAACTCATACGAATATCGAAGACTGGACAAAAAAATAATAATCTATTTTTACATCAATATACAAGATAAGGGATATATATAATGCCAAACCCCACATCACCCGGGTGGACATAACCTGGGTGATTGGACTAAAATATATTCCATTTGTTTAAAATATAATGACATACTTTCCTTTTTAGTTCGTTAAAAAAAATGACCTTTTTTTCTTTTTGATAACATTTTAATTTCAGTTTTTCACGTGGCATGTTTAAGGTCACAAGACTAAAGAACAATTTTATACATTTGACATAACTTTAAGGCAATTTAGGACCACAAGATTCAAAAATCTTCTTTATTTTCTTAAACTACGTGTCAAGTCAAACCAGATCACTCTTTTTTAAAACGGAGGGAGTATATATATACACCCAAAGTACCAACAGGAATATTTAAAACAAGAATATCATAATAACAAAATAAACCAACAAAACACTCATACATAACCTGATTAATAAACTAAGATAACATATAGCACTGGATTTTATTTTCTTTAATTAACAATTAAAGCTTTATTCATCCATGATCTGACTTTATCATGAAATTAATTGAACTCATAATTACACATCAGTTGGAAGCTCCAACTTGGAATCGAAGGCCGGTTGTTGATCTTCAAGATCACCGTATGGACGTCGTCCTATATAATTACCCGGTGGATCATAATTGCACGTTATAAAAACCCACCCACTGTTGCATCGAACCCTTGCACAACCAAGACGTACTGAATCACGCCAGACTACCTGAGTATAATGTCCACATACTTTTCCTGGTGCACAAGTATTCGAATTATAATCGTACCATTGCTTCTCATCGTCCCACATCTTCACGGCACCAGCCGCGTTCAGCTGGGGGAAAGCCGCGGCCAGGTTTTCGCCGTAAGGGCCATCAGAGTGGATCATTCCACAGTCACCAATTCTCTGATTGGCATAATTTTGGGCATAGGCTGCTAGCCCGTAGTCCCAAGTCATAGGGCCGACTCCAACTTGACTACGAGCTGCATTGTGAGCGTTAAGAAAATTCTCTTGAGGAGTTTGAGCTTGTGATGAATGAAATATAGCAAATGTAATGAAACAAACAACTAAAATGGAGTATTTCATTTTGGATTTTGATGAGAAAAAGGCATAGTATGGATGGGTTTTAATAGGGAGTTAAAAAGTTTGCAAGTTGTAAAAAAAATGAATTGAATGATTAGTTATTAATTAGCATAATTTTTAAGCCATATTTGAAAAGCATACAATGTTATAGTTACTATATTAAAGAAATGTTCGATCTATCATGCAACTATTCGTTTAAGCAAAAGCCGCCATTAAAAAAACAATTTTATTGATGAACACTATTATAATAATCATGATCATTATATTTGAACAGTTATATATATATAAAAGATGACCGTCCATCGGTATATTTTAACGTATTATAAAAGATATTTTTGGTATTATTCTATAAATAATTTACTAATCCCACTTTTATGGATTGATCCTCTAGCGACAAGTATGTAAGAATTATTTTTTACACAATATGTCAATATCATGTTACTTTTATATATATAAAGATGACCGTCCATCCGTATATTTTAACGTATTATTCTATAAATAATTTACTAATCCCACTTTTATGGAGTGATCCTCTAGCGATAAGTATGTAAGAATTATTTTTTACACAATATCATGTTACTTATATCATATCAACAAGTAAGATTCTAATTTGTAATTTTAAAAATAAAATAAAATAAAATATATGCTATATTATGTAAAAATAACTTGATAATATAAAAGTAGATAGCGGTATAATATTATTACTTATTAAAAGAAGATGAAACGTAGAACTTGGTGAGAGTATATCACTCTTAAGGAGTGTTTTCTACTCAATTAATTTTATAGTTGATTAGATAATTAAATTTTCCTATGCCTTGTCAATAGTCAATACGAATTTTTAACCATAGATAATACTACTAAACAAATATCGAGTAATTTAATTTGTTCTTTTATAAAAAATAAAGTTTTAATATTGTTTAAACTGATGCCGATATATATTCTCTTATTATATAAGAGAGAGTTTGAGGTTGAAGCAGGTATGTCTTTGTCGACGTATCTGCTTCAGCAATATTTATAGAAAGACTTTAAAATTTTATTTTCAAAAACTGTTTCCTTTTATTCTACTTTAATTTAATTAGTGTATAATTTTTTTTAAAATTGTGGAACCCACTTTAGCTATGACTTTTAGTTTTAAATTCATATCCTTTAATTATAGTTTTATTATTTTAAATATTAATAATCTTTATGTAAAATTTGTAATTACTTTGAGTAAAAAATCAACAGTCGATAAAGAAAAATACTTTAATTATGGAAATCTCAATATTCCTATTTACATTAGATTTGCGTGAAAAGAGAATAAATAAATTATAATTTATTTTAGAGTAAAAATTTAAAATCATTTAATCAATACAACTTAAAAATTGTCAATATTAACAATATTTATTAGATATTATCTTACAGATAATTTTATATTATTTAATTAACACCACTTAAAAATAAATTTATAAATAAATATTGGGCCTGTGTGGAAGTTTCATAACTAATATATAGTTAAGCGCAGCCAGCCTCCTTAAAATAAATTTTCGATGCAACTGGTGTTTCAGAAATAGGAAAGCCGCCATTAAATTAATACTTATAAGACTTTGAGCGTACCATTAGGATGTTTAATTAATTAATTTCAACCCATGACCACTCTGTATTGGGTCAACTTCAACAACATATCCACCATCTCAATAACGAACGATTTAAATAACAAAGTTATCACTGCATCGCGTAATATAGTCATGTACTATTAGTTTATTACTATCTGTTAAAGAATGACAAAAGTCTCACATTGGTGGTTAATAAGATTGGTAGATTCCTTATAAGGCTTGGGCAATCCTCGTTACTTTGAGCTAGCTTTTGGGGTGTGAGTTAGGTCTAAGACCTAATTTAACATGGTATCGGAGCAGAGCCCATTTCACCCAATGTTGGGGCCCCCAAAATCAAAAATGGTCACACATCAGATGTTAAGCACTTGTGTGAGGTGGGGTGTTAAAGAATGACAAAATTCTCACATTGGTGGTTAATGAGATGTATGGACTCCTTATAAGGCTTGAGTCATCCTCCTCTCTTTGAGCTAGCTTTTGGGATGTAAGTTAGGTCTATGACCTAATTTAACACTAGCGATATGACTAAAATGTGATTACTTGAATCAATGGGATTGTGATGTAAATCTTTTGGAAGATTTTTGCGATTTGTTTATTTAATTAAAACCCAAAACGTAGGTATCAATTAGAAAAAATAGGAACTAGATTAGGATACCTTTTCTTTTTCATATAAATAAAATATTGTTCTTTTTAATAAATATTTTAAAGTATAGCTATTTTCAATAAGTTAAAATTTTGACTAATTCCACAACTTTTCCGTTTATAATCCAAATTATGAAAGAGGAATACTAGCCAGGGCCCATATTTCAACCAGCCCAAAATGAGCCCAAGGATATCGTTATAAGCCCACAACAAGGTCTGTGCAGAAGTTGGTGGCCCACTCTCACCATTAAAATGGAGGAACAACACTGTTGCTGCCTATGCTCGAGACTACAGGTCATTAGGGCTGAAAAAATTAACTCATTAAAGTATGACATATTCGAGTTTGGGGCGAGTTAATTTATGTAAGTCAATTTATTTTGATTCGTCTAATTCAGCTCATTTAAAAGTTGGACTGATGTAGGTTAAATATGTAAACCAAATTAATCCATGCAAAACCTTATCAAATTATTTTTAAGAAAACTTTTTTTTTTTGTTTGATATGGTATATGATATCAATAATCAAGAAAAAAAAATTATTAGGCAATCAAACAGATGATCAAAAATTAAAAAAAACTAAAACTTTGTAAGAGTTAATCTATTAGATTATAACCTATTGCTTAGCGTATGTTGATCTAACTCATCTAAGCACAAAAGTATTTGAACGAGTTAATGATCATCTCATTTTTTAATGAAAAATTAATTTACTTTTGATAAGTCTATATTCAATCTCACTCGCCCATTTTACCGTCCAACAATCCATCTTAATTACAACTCTATAGTATTTAAAATCCACGAGATTTGACCCTAATCCAAAAGGAACATGAATAAAATTGATCTCATAGATATTCGTGATATCTCAAAGATATTGAAATTGAAGTTGATGATGATCATAAAATAAATAGTCAAATATACTTCATCCAAAAATAGACTTTAATATATTAATTAAATTCCATTTTGTTAATACAGGGCTAAGCTAAGGACAACTTCCCCAGCTATTACATGTCACATTACATATATTCTTGACTTGCATGGTATAAAAGTAATTTAATTATAATTTTTTTTTGTAACCATGCATCGTAATCGATTAATTAATTAATTAATCAATTAATAAGGTTTCTCGCCGATGTAATTTCCAGGTGGGTAATAGTTGCATGACACAAACCACCATTCACCATTCGAGCATTTCAATCTAGAGCATCCAACTTGTTGGGTATTTTTCCAGACAACTTGAGTATAATGTCCGCACATTCCTTCTCTACAAGTGTTGGATGCATAATCGTAGTTCGATTTCTCTCCTACCCATAAATTAACGGCCTGCACCGCTGTAAAATCGCCGGAGCCCATTGCAAGATTTTCACCATAGGGTGAGTCTGAATGCACCAATGTGCATTCACCTAATCTAGTGGTAGCATATTCATGGGCATAAGCAGCAAGTGTATCGTTCCATTTTAGAGGTGGAAGTGGCACACCAACTTCAGCACGGGCCTTGTTGTGGACTAGAACAATGTCTTTGGGCAAATTTTGGGCCAGTGAAGAATGGGCTAAACCTAAAACCAAGAACACAACAAAGGTTGAAAGCTTTGAGATCTCCATTTCCTTTTACTTTGCTATTTTTGAGGCAAATTTGAGGGGAAATGGAGAAGGGTGATTGTGTTTGTGATTTGAAAATGTGAGATGTTTTTGGTATTTATAGGCACATCCAAATGAGCGAAATTTTTTTAAAGCGAAAGCGCTGTGCCAACTTGCGTACATGATTTAAGCTTATGGTTAGCCCGTGAATGTTGGCATTTGGACTAGAGTGTCAAAGTTAGCACCATTGAAAAATGAGAGTATGGGATTAAAATTTGTGTTTAACGTTCATCATGACTTGACAAAGATAGAGGTTCACATGCCTAATATACCAAAGATAAAACTATGTTTTATTTTATTTTATTAGATAAGAAAATAAATTAACTTTTGTTTGACTGAAAGTGACATGCTAGGAGCCCATCGTTTTAGCATCAAAAGACACTAATAACTACAATAATACTAATTACATCTTATTCCTAGTCTTTTCCAAATTATAAAAATCCCTTAAATTTGGTGGAATCCGGATACACCGCATCCCAGTTTCGGATACATCCCGATACATCACACGTTTCGATTTTGGAGCGTTTTGATACATCGTGTAAAGTAATGTATAGGAGAATCGCGTAAAGTAATGTATAGGAGAGTAGAAATTTTGTAATTTTTTCAAATGGTAGGAATTTTTAGAGAATATGGTAAAATAAGTTATGTATTTAGGTAATTTTTTCTATTAAGCAAACCAAATAAGTTCATGTACAAGATTAGTTAAAATAAAAAAGAAAAAAAGAAGCCCTAATTATAGGAGTAATTCTAGGGCGTATAGACAAAGTAAAATAAAATTTACTTTTTAAAGTAAGAACCATAAATTAAGGACATGCAAAAATCACGCTGTAGACTTTTTAAAATTCGTTGTAATTGAACTGCATGTTAAGCAAAAGCAAAGATTAAATTAGTGCATCTTGGACAGAAAGTCATCAGTTGCAAATTAGTAAAGGTTCAGTTAATCGACGCTATTAGCGGGTGACTTTACGCACTCTTACTCATGAATCATGTGGAGTTGCAAAACTCTGAAGCAACCGTGCTCTTCAAATTCGGGTGGTGGAAGGGCTAGCGGCTGTTTTTCGCGAATTTTTAATATTCAGTTGCTAACTAAATTTTATAGATAAGGAATGAATACACCCAAGTTGTAACAAGATTGCCTTCAAGGAAGAAGATTGTAACAAATTAACATTAAGAATGAAATCGATTGTGATAACCTAGGTCCTATCTTCAACATTGCTTAAATATGCTACAAACAAGTCATTCCAGATATCTGTAAGTCCTGGTAAGCACCAGTGCATGCAATCATCATGTTTCTTCCCACCTGCTGTAGACGGATGGGCATCAGCTCTAAACTCACTCATATGAGATATGTCCAGTATATGAAATTTAGTGCCTTCAAAGGCCCTGTATAGATGCTGGTTCACAAGGCGAACCTCCACATTTGTTCCGTTATTTTTAAGGGAAAAGAGTTCCTCCACCTGGAAAACAGAACACAAAGGGATAACTTTCAGCGACCTATTACTTAGAGTGAAGTGGAGCCATAAGTGCTCAGTTGCAGGTGAAAGCAATTTTAACAGTTACAGGGCAAAGATTAAGTGTATTCCAACAATAACGGGGGTTGCCTGACACTTGGTAAACTACGGATAGTTTTTCTTCTTTTCTTTTTTTATAGTTAAAACTATTTAAATGGAGAAAGTTACCTCTTGAGGTGAGAGAGGCTGTGACCGCTGGCAAGAGCCACCTTGGTCCCAGTCACCTCCTTCAAAATGCCTTGGAGATTGGGTTCGCAAGAACACCGTGGTGCCAGGTCGCATCCTTTTGTCCACATAAGATATCTAGTAGAAACAACACACAAAGAAGATTAGAGAAGAAGCACATGTAAACTTCTGAAGCATAACTGAGACTAAAGTTTCTGAAGAGGCCTGAAGAAAAGGATAGAACAGTACCATATGCTTTAATACCATATCAAGCCCCCTTTCGGGGGACAGTGGAGGCACCACAGGATCGCCCTTTTCAAAGAAAAGCATGGGTGACTTTACTGGATCAAACTTTGAAGGAGCCCACCACCTTACAGAAGAATGGAAAGCAAGATAAGAAATCACTAATCAGTACGAAAAAATAATCAACGGAAACAAATTACTTAAAGATACAATAACTTAAGCTAACAGAATCCTGATCAAAAGAAAATTGAAGCTAACAGAATGTCAGTACAAAATTCCAGCAGGACACCTGAATCCTGATGACAGATAAAATCCACCACCTTGGGCCATAAACATCATGTTAAGAAACTATAGGTACTAAGATGCCCTGACTCGGCATCAATAATTCTATAAACACATTGTAATAAACCTGAAGAATCAGAGTCCATACAAGGCAACTCTTAGTGGTTTATGAATTTCACCCATTGATGATCAACCACTTCTAATTTGGAAAGTGAAGATCTATTATGGATCATCAGGAGGATGTCAACACAATTGAAGGATACAAGAACAGTAAAAACAGCAATTAGCGAAGAGCTGTACAGAACCTGTGGGGTGAGAACATAAAACAATGGGATGTAATTAGGTGACCATACCCCTCAAACTGCTCCTTGTGTTCTTCCCTTCCACTTTATCTTTGGTCAATCTCTTTTTGCCATCTAGAATAATCACCAAAAATCAAATGGCAACACTGAACAATTTTCCTAGATCTCATTTAATGTGGAGGTTGTCTCTCTTTATTACTTTCTTTTATAAGTAATTTAAGTCTCTTTACTCTTTACTAACTGATGGGCTGAATATATCTGTGTATTCTATCATAGTTTAGAAGGTTGTGCTTAAATGATATTCTGATTACAGTACCCTACTAATTGCTATATATTTCCTCATTTATCAGAATATCCAAACATGAGCATGCTAACATTTCACCATTGAGAACTTCCATCCAATGAGAAGTTTTACAATTGGATATTTGTTTTACTTATCTGGTAGTTTTTACAACTCGAAATGCAGGAAACATAAGTTCACTTGTTTTGTTAAACTGGTACCTCCCATGGCCTTTAGGACATCATTACAATGTGCTTTTCTTTCCCATTGGTAAATCTTGAGGATCCACAGACAATAGAAGAAGAGAATGAATAAACCGAGTTTTGGCTCCTTTTTGCAAATTCGCACAAAATGATTAGAGTTAATTCCATCAACATGGGTGAAAAAAATTACTAGAGTTAATCCCATCAACAGGGAGTTAGTATACCACTTGGTCAGAGCCAAAGATGCTACACTAAATAGACCATCAAGTATTAACCATGTCAAATTCACTTTTCACAGAAGCAAAAGTAGCCTCGACGTTCACACCAAAGGAATCTTATTATACAAGAAAATAGCCTTACCAGTGACCCGTGTTAAAGATGAGAATGTCGTGGAAACTTGGAGCTTCCGCCCATGTTCCTTCTGGTACATCAACATCAACTCTATAACCCTCCTTATATCCTAGAGATTCCAGTACCCCTCCATTGGCATTGGCTGACCACCTGTATAATAACAAATACAGAGAGTATATATGAAACTATGCAGAATGCAAAAGTAGTTGATAAGTTACTTAAGAACTTGGAATTGAGATTCGGCAGCAAGCCATTATCACCCATAAGATCCAGAAAATCACACTTACGAACTTAGACAAGAATTTATCAATTACTTAAGTCTTGAGTCATACAGGCATAAAACCACCACCAACAGTTTTCTGTTACAAATCTTGAGTCATACTGGCATAAAACCAGAACATTCTTGGTGTGTAACTAACAAAAACATCCTTACTAATTATATTTCCAATGCAGTTTGTTATACAAACTAGGCATACTCTAGTATCATCTACGTATTACTAGAGAAAACCTTCAAACCATAGAATCATATTTATGAAACATCAAAATCCCAATGGTTAGCCATAAACTGCTACGTTCCATGATTTAACCATGAACACATAAGAAACAGTTTCTTCATGAGTAACAAAGTACACTGCTACAACTGAGTAGATTCAGAAACCAACAACAGCAACATAACCCGTGAATTTTCACAAGTGGAGATGAGTGTACGCAGACCTTACATGTACCTCGTGGAGATAGAGAGGTTGCTTCCTAAAGACCTTTGGCTCAAGTAACACATAACAAATCTTGAATCACTAAGAAAACTTGAAACTTGTTTCTGTCTCCAATTTTCCTCAATATTTAACTAAAGGACTCACATAGATAAGAGAATAAAAATCCATGATCAACAGTGTACAGTGTACACTTCCTCAGTATAATTCTGTGAAAAACTAGTTGACAACTTCACTTCTACCCTATCACGCCTTGGGAAAAATAATGTCACAAGATGCACATGGCATATTGTAATTGAGATAAGTAACAGCAAAACTGTTACGCTCACAAGAAAAAGCAGATGTCTAAATGATGGTTCTAAATTCTGATCTGCATGACAGAAAACAGCCGTGTTGCCTAGTCTAACAATCTGTCGAATAACATGACTAAAACTACATTAACAAATGTGAAATAACTTATCAAATCTTACCTACCATAACGAGCCAATAGATTTGTCCGATGATATGAGATAGTAAGGTTATACTTCAGAAAGGTAAAACCACGATCAGCTCCAGCAGGGCGCCACTTTTTCACATCGCCTGGCGCCCGCTTTAAAGTGCAGAAAAGTGAAACAAACATGTTTCTGTTTAAGGAGTCCCCAACAAACCCTGCATTGTTTAACATCCATAAGGTCTAAAGGTTGCACAAGACTACAGTCAGAAAATAAGATAAAATAAAATTAGGCTTCAAAAGCTTGTTTTCATTAATTATTATCCATGTTATCAACCATAATCACATTTGGACCAACTATACAGAGAAGTTTCTGTGTGTTCAACCAAAGGTATATCAAGTATATAAAAGCCGCGGAGGCTCTAACTGTTTTGTCCTTGACTATATACAGACATTATATATATTATACACACACAAGTTTAAAGAAATCAAAATGGACAAAGGGAAGCCCAATGCACAAAGCATCCACATTTACACAGCAGTGTGGGGGGGAGGACCGCAC